GCAATCATGTAGATCCCAAATATTTTAATGTTTTGTCTGTTGTGGTTTGCCAAGTGATTCATCAGTAACCAAGAGGAGACTAGACCCTAACAGAGATACTTACAGACCATTGTGTAAATACTAAAGTATTAATTTAAAAATTCTAATTCTGTATTCACTGTACAATAAGGGATAATGATCCATTCTTTGAATTGTCCAAATAATTATTTTCTATGAGTTTTATTTTGTAGAGTGTCTTCCATAGATGCTACTGTTTGAAACTGTACAAAGTCTGTTACTCATTTAACTACCTTTAAAGACATATTTAGTAGTGAAGGAAGAAAATATTTTAGATACATGGAAGCAAAGAGACTGTTGATAGAACAAAGTGAAGCAAAAACCATAATGCAAACTTGGGTTGTGCTAGAAAACACAGGAACCCTATTGTGGACTTCAACAAGAACAGAGAAGCTTTTTGTGATTGACTGCATGTAAAAAGCTATTACTAATCCTAGATGTTGCTATTCCATCTGTATTTGGTAGGTGTCCAAATTACTTCTCTAAATTAATTGCCATAAGTTTCCTACAGAAAAGAGCAGTATTTTGCTTCAGTAGTTCTTCTAAACTTACTTTGTGTAGAATTGGATGGTTATATTCATTAGAGAAACATGATTGCCCTTCCACATAGGCTGTAGCAATGGCTGAAAGTTTCCTAGGAAACATGGAAAATGGGATATATGCAAGGAATTCACACAAAATGGGTTTATTCATGCTTTGGAAGTCTTTATTTAATTGACAGAATATTGCTAAAAAAGAAACAAACTCTACACTAATAATCATCAGGATGAGAAACTTCGTGTATTTTAATAGCAGTTTTTAACAGCACTTGGGTGTGTTTCTGACTCATTAAAGTCATTTCATCCAACTTGCGCACGTCAAGCAGACATGCTTCATCTCTTCTGCAATTAATGACCATTTTTCCTTTTTGGTTTTTTTTCAAGATTTTGTTAGAAAGCAGAAGTGAATTTAGATCTTACTCTTTAAGAAGTAGAACTAAACTTGTGTTTTGTGTAAGAAAACAAGATGTAAATCTTGTATTATTTCTTTTTGCCTTTTGGAGGATTTTTCTAGTATTGCGCTGTAAAGTTTTTTGATGGATTTACTGAGTGTATAGTTTAAATTTAGGTGTTTTCATTTAATGATGCCTGCTAGATTTACTAATTGAAGAAAATGATATTTAGTTGGATTTCCTCCCGTGACATAGCATTTCAATTAGTTCAGCTCATGCAACACTTTCTATTCTTATAATATTAGGGTACTGCTTAAAATGCAAATAAGACATCATGGAGACTACTACCTCCCAGTGAAGTAAGACTTGGTACAGGCTGTGCAGTAAATGTCCTAACAATGGCTTTGTTCTCCATTGGGGTACATATCCCTCCTTTTTTTCAGAGGTGTTTTCAGAAAGAATCTGCATTCAAGCTTCATACCATAAACTAGTACAGTAAAAAGTAAGTTCTTTTGAACTTCTAAAATACTGGTAATAGTTGCAGAAAGCTAAGCTATAGGTTTAAAATGTTTCTACAAATAGATCATAGTAAATTTCCATTGCATTTATGTGATTATAGCAGATGGAACCTTCTAGAGGAAAAAGGGCTCATCTGTAAATATATGAAACTGTAGTGTGAATCAGGGGGTTGAGTTCTCCTATAGTCACCAAGTATCACTGATGTAAAGATTGTTTTGCAAGTGTAATGCTTTAGAGTTCCGATTCTGTACAGTATTTCAATTCTTTTTACTAGTTCATATTTGGAAGATGGACCATTATTTACCCTTGTATATATTTCCATCAGTGATTTTATTTATATATGGATATATAAACAAAGACTGAAATACAGCAGATGAGGATTTTAAGAAAAGGAAATTATATGCTAAGTAGGATGTTTATAAAGAACAATGCCAGAGCATAGAAATGCATTTTAAAATAAGTGTTAAGAGGAGAAGAATTGGGCAGGCTTTCTAAATTCCCATTGATAGAGCTTTCATTTTCAGGAGAGAATGCCAGTCTTTTCCTTCTCTTGGAAGTTTCTGATAAAAATCTTTTGATATTTTGGAGTGCTGAGCATGGCCAGTCTTTTCCTTCTCTTGGAAGTTTTTGTTAAAGATCTTTTGATATTTTGGAGTGCTGAGCGTATTATCAGTGGATACCTAGCAGCATAAACATCAGTCCTTGGCTATAAACCAAGGGATGGGCAGAGGAGAACCAACTGAAATTCAACAAGGGCAAGTGCAGGGTCCTGCACCTGGGGAGGAATAACCCCAAGCACCAGGTCAAGGGAAGTGATCCTGCCTCTCTAACTCAGCCCTCATAAGGCCACACCTGGAGTATTGTGTCCAGTTCTGGGCTCCTCAGTATGAGAGGGACATGGAACTCCTGGAGCAGGTCCAGTGGATGGCAGCAAAGGTGATTAAGGGTCAGGAGCACCTCACTTATGAGGAAAGGCTGTGGGAGTTGGGCCTGTTTAGTCTCAAGAAGAGATGACTGAGAGGGGATCTCATTAATGTATTCAAGTACATGAACAGGAAGTGCCAAGATGATGGAGCCAGACTCTTTTCACTTGGGGAAATCAATAAAACAAGAGGTAATAGGCAAAAACTGATGCACTGGAAGTTCCACATGAATACAAGGAAGAACTTGTTTTCTGTGCAAGTCACTGAGCATGGGAGCAGATTGCCCAGAGAGGTTGCAGATTGTCCCTTACTGGAGGTATTCAAGAACTGTCTGGACACAATCCTGAGCCATGTGCAGTAGGATGGCCCTGCTTGATAGTAGAGAGGTTGAACCAGATGACCCACTGTGGTCCCTTCCAGCCAAACTGATTCTGTGATTGCAGGACTTACTACAGGATCAAGGGAATAATAATACATATATTAAGAATTAGAATAATTTCTTAGTGATGTTCTTCAGCACCATAGTTACGAGGTTGAATCCAAGATTCCTCTTGCAGCTGTCCTGTCTTTTGTTAGAAATAGTGAAAATTGAGGTGTCAGATAAAGTAGTAGCTGAAAAACAGCTTTCCATTTATAAAAAGGGAGTTAGTGGGCCATGAATTTTGAAGCATCTCAGTTGCTAGCAGAGAAAAACATAGTTTTGTGTCAATATCTGATGGGATACAGTTTTTCATGTGGATCATATTTATATTGTGCAGTAATTTGAGCCCCAAACCTTAATAATAGAAGGCTATTAATAACAAGAATTGAGAATTGTTGCCAAACAGAGAGTACAGAAGGAAAATACAAATTATATTTAAAACTAAAATCATGCTTTCCTAATGGCTGCAATTGCTGAGGAAGGAAGGTTGTCTGCCTGTCTGGAGTTACCTTTTTTCCCCATTACCTGGCTTTGGGTATGGTTAACAAGAGTACTACATTAGGTGGACTCTAGATGTATCCAAGAGTAGTACTATCTTTATGGTTGACTACATCTTTACCATGAAATCACTTTAATATTCAATGAAGTGTATAAATGGACTGTGCAATATTCTAATCTATTTTCTTTGGAAGCAATACTTTATTATGCTTCATTTCTTCACAAGTGATGCTTCTTTTTACCATACATTTTGCACTTTTAAACCCCTTCATGTTGATATTTTTTTAATTGCCCCTTCCATTTCTACTAGTATTATTTGTTAATTTCAGGAGTAAAACTTCTGTTTGTGAGGAAGAGCCATGCAAAACTCATGCATTTTCCTATTCATTCAGTATACAAAATGCATTGGGTGTCAGGATTTATTTCCTCAAAGTTTGGAGCTGTGGTGGTTTTGTGCTATGTTTCCATTAACTTTGTGTCAGAAACTGGAAGGTTTTTTTCTTTGTTTCTGGTTGTTTGTTTGTTTTGAGTTTTTTTGTTTTGTTGTTGTTTGGTTGTTTTATTGTTTTGTTCTGTGTGTGTGTTCTTTTTTTTTTTTTTTTTTAATAATAACATGCTAGAAGTAAAGCTGAATGTTGCTGACATTGTTCCAAACCACACTTAGGCAACTCCAAACTGGTGAGCTACAAGATACCTGTAACTGAGTGTCCCTTATAAAGGTTTCTTTTAATTTAATTTCCATCAGGTCTTTAAATCACACCTAATTTCTTTTCAATATTGTGTGTATCATGAAGTAGATCTTTCATTTCTAATAAGCTGGTAGACCTGTGTTATTTACCTTAATGAAATTTAAGATATGATTTTCAAGTAAGTTCACCTTTGATTCAGGATGCCAGAGGACTGTAGAAAATACCATCTCTCAGTGACTGGTATTGCTTCAAGAGTGTGTTTTCTTCAGGTATGTAACTACTAGGCAGGCAAGGAAAGAAAAACGTGATGCTACCAGTTATGGACCTGAATGCTTAGAAAGAAATAAGCTGAGCTTTTTGTATGTGATACAAGGACATGGAGTGGTATGTTCACCAGCATTGGCACATATACATATATATGCTGAACCAGATGTCCTTAGGATAGGTTATACAATCATGCAACAAATAAATATGTAATTGGTGTCGTTATCTGACCAAAAAATGTGGTGGTTAGTCCTGATGTATGTTTTTGATGGTATTTTACATCAGCTTTTAATGAGCAGTATCATATGTTAGACTCGTACTTGCACTATATCTATCTTTTTGTTGTTAAATATGTACATAAGAGAAAACAAATGTGAAACACATTAGTCTAATTAAGAACTGGAGGAAACCCATTGATCCTTATTTGAAACTGCTGATAAATTTAGCTTTACATCATTCCTGGATTGCTTCAGATGATCAGATAGAAATAGAAGTCAGTTCAGTGATCTTTCCCCTATGTCTCTGGGTTTTGTATTTCTGAAGAACATATGTAGTACATTTTCATTATGTTATTCACTGCCTGGGAAGAAATCAGTGGAGAAGAGCATGAAACCAGTGAGAGAGGAAGGAGACATGCTATACATTTTTAGAATCTGAAAGCACAGTGTAAAAACCACATGCTTCTTATTTGCTTTTAGGTTTTCAGAAAAAGCAACGATGGAATGGTTGCAGCTTTTTGAAGGTAGTGGGGTTCCATATGGCCCAATCAACAATATGCAGCAAGTATTCTCGGATCCTCAGGTTGGTTCTCACCAAGTCTTTTCTATACATTATTACATGTGCTTTACAAATGCTGAGTAACGATCACTTTCCCTGCCACTCAGACCTGATTCTGACTACTTTAAAAGGGGATTTTAGACTTATTTGGTGGATTGAGTTTAAGCCAGAAATATGTTATAATAAGAAATAAATACAGAGACTTAAATGAATTATATGCTTGAGAACACAGCTTTTGTCATAATGAATTAAACCATAGGTATTCCATTCCTTGTATGGAGTCTGTTTTTCAAAACTGGCTGGCAAAACAGGGAAAGAAACCATAATATAGTATGTAATTGCATTTTATCAGATAAATATGCAGAAAAGTACCTTTCTTGCTGTTCATAAGTAACTAATTTTCTGTATGAAGTACGAATAACCAGAATCAATACTGTTTGAAAAATATCGGCAACTTTTTGACTGGAAACAGAAAAATTAAACACAAAAGTCATCTGAAGGAAGATTTTAATCTTTTCTTGGCCTGTTGCTTCACTAGCTGAAACTGCTTCATTTGTGTACTGATTTTAAATTTTAAATCTTTCACTGAATTACATCTATGCTTAATTGTATATTTTTAGTTTTGAACATCTGTAGAGTTGTATTATCTTCATAGTCCCTGATCCCTCCTCTTCTTCTCACCCTCTGGCTTAAAGGGCCCAGGACAAGCTGAATTATACTGTCTTGAATAGTGTAACAGTATTTTATGGCTAATCAATTGTGTGATAAATCTCCTCCATGTTGAATTTTACTAATGAGAATAACAGGAAAAATGATTGATCATTGACTACTTTTGGTTTTTCTTCCAATTTTGTGCATATCCGTGTCTGCTATCAAGAAGTGTTTGTCAGGATTGTGATTGTAGTCTCTGGGAAATATGAACAGGCAGACCAATCTCTATCATAAGGGAATATGTTTATAATAAATATGTTTGTTATAAATATATTTATTATACTTTTAGAGGCATAAACCAATATTTACTAGGCTACTGCAAGGAAATAAGTGGTTTTTTTCTTAAATAAATATGTTCTTTCTCCTTAAAATGATGTACTACCATGCTGTAAAGTATGCATAGGCCAAATTTTTCACTTCGTAACTTTCACAGGGATTAAGGTTGGGCTTCGAAGAACATATAGCAAAAGTATTTTACTTAGATTTGGCTGTACTTGGGGCAACATTGGAAAAAATAATCTTTGCTGTTTTTTGATGCTGTGAGTTTAAGAAGTTGAGTCCACTCTGAAAGACACTGCTTTTTAAAACATTGTATGTTGTGGGGTGGCTATTAACTCCCAAACTGAGAAGGGGTTAGCTTGGTTACCTTGCTCTTGTTAGAATTCCCCTAAATATTATGTCTACATATATATTATTCTTAATGTCGTTGTATATATTATTTATATGTGTCAGGTTATTACCCAACATAGTTGACCTGTCCATAAAAGGTATCACAGTGCTTTGCAGTCAGATACCACCATGTAGCATGTTTATCCAGATATTTTCCTGTCAAGGGTTATGCTCATCTCTCTCTTGTTCATGAGACTGCTTGAAAAACGTTGTCTTTTTTACATCCTTCACTGAAATACATGGCACTTGGACACTGTGTTCTTATTACTGTTGGAAATTGAATGTCAGTATCTGTGTGATGCTGTATGTTGTACATTTGATTCATTTCTGGTGCTGCTTACCTCCTTAAGCATTTTCTCACATGTATTTTCTGTTGCAAGGATGGGGGGGGGAAAGACTGCGGTTCTTTCCTCATCTTTCTTTAAATAGGGAAAACTGTTGTTGTTTTAAGGTATTGCCCTGGTGGCAAGCTATGTACTTTACATCACTTATATAAAATTAAGCCCCCCACTCCACCATTATGTCTCTCTAGCAGACAGCAATTTGGAGAGTTGCATACTTAGCCTATTAAGTACATTTTTTGAGTTTCTACACAAATTTTTGTTTTGGTGGCAGAGACTTTGGACCATCACAGGTGACTTCATTGCCCTGAGCCTCTTATCCATAGCTGGCATTCAGAGGCTTAGGGATAGTTCAAGCAAAGCTTTTCAACTTCACAGTTCTTCTGGTTTTGCTGTTGTACCTTTCCCAGTCTCCCTCCACTTGATCATTTTTCTGTTGCTGTATAGACAGCATCTATCTGGGATAAACACACATGCTTGTGAATAGCTTTGTTTTTTCATAAGCCAGTCTGCAATTTTATTTTCTGAAACCTCGTAAAGCCTGACAGTGCCCTGAGACAATGTCTAAGACTGGTGAAGAAGTTTAGCAATACTTGAGAGTCTGTAATCTAGGTATCCTCTGCACTATAAAATCCCAGTTATAACAGGGAAAACCCAGCACCTATCAACAAGAACATACTGTAATCACTGCAAGATTTTTCATAGAATCATAGAATATTTTGAGTTGGAAAGAAACTTTTCAAGGTCACACTGCAATGAGCAGGGATATGTTCAACTACGTCAGGTTGCTTAGAGCCTCATCCAGCCTGATCTCAAATATTTTCAGAGATGGAGCATCTACCACTTCTCTGGACAACCTGTTCCAGTGTTTTTCAACCCTCATTGTAAAAAAACCCAAAACTCATTTCCTATATCTAATCTAAATTGACCTTCCTTCAGTTTAAAACCATTACTCCTCACAACAGGCCCTACTAAAAAGTCCCACTTCAAGTAGTGGAAGTCCACAACAGGGGCTTCCTGGTGCTTTCTGTTCTCTGGGCTGAGCAATCTTAGTCTGCAATTTTATTTTCTGAAACCTCGTAAAGCCTGACAGTGCCCTGAGACAATGTCTAAGACTGGTGAAGAAGTTTAGCAATACTTGAGAGTCTGTAATCTAGGTATCCTCTGCACTATAAAATCCCAGTTATAACAGGGAAAACCCAGCACCTATCAACAAGAACATACTGTAATCACTGCAAGATTTTTCATAGAATCATAGAATATTTTGAGTTGGAAAGAAACTTTTCAAGGTCACGCTGCAATGAGCAGGGATATGTTCAACTACGTCAGGTTGCTTAGAGCCTCATCCAGCCTGATCTCAAATATTTTCAGAGATGGAGCATCTACCACTTCTCTGGACAACCTGTTCCAGTGTTTTTCAACCCTCATTGTAAAAAAACCCAAAACTCATTTCCTATATCTAATCTAAATTGACCTTCCTTCAGTTTAAAACCATTACTCCTCACAACAGGCCCTACTAAAAAGTCCCACTTCAAGTAGTGGAAGTCCACAACAGGGGCTTCCTGGTGCTTTCTGTTCTCTGGGATGAGCAATCTTAATTCTCTCAGCCTTTCCCCATAGGAGCGGTGCTCCATCCAGCCCTCCGATCATCTTCATGGCTCTCCTTATGACTTGCTCCAACAGGTCAATGTCCTTCCTGTGCTGAAGACTCCTAATCTGGACACAATACTCCAGGTAGGGGTCTTATGTGAGCGGAGTAGAGGGGATAGAATCACCTCTCTTGACCTGCTGGTCACACTTCCTTTGATGCAGTCCAGGATACAGTTGGCTTTCTGGTCTGTGAGTGCATATTGCCAGGCCATGTCCAGCTTCTCATCCAACAGCACTCCCTTCTATGTGGTTGCTCTTGATCCATTCATCCCTCAGCCCATATTGATACTAAGGGTTGCCCTGACCCAGGTGTATGAGCTTGCACTTGGGTTTGTTGAACCTCATGATGTTCTCATAGGTCCACTTCTCAAACTTTTCCAGGTTCCTCTGGATGGCATCCCATCCTTCAGGCATGCTAACAGCACTATTCAGCTTGGTGTCATCTGCAAACTCGATGACGGTATGCTCAATCACTTTGTCTGTCTTTGATGAAGACATTAAATAGCACTGGTTCCAGTATGGACCCCTGAGGGACACTACTTGTCACTAATGTGCATCATCTCACTGACCCCTACCCTCTGGATGTGACTGTCCAACCAATTCCTCATCCATCAAACAGTCTGCCCACTTTCTTATGTGTAAATCTGAACCCAGTCATCAAGTATGGAGAACTCTGCAATAGTTCTTCATAGTGCTCCTATTATAATATGGTTGTTTTTTTCAGGCTCTATTTAAATCAGAAAATACATTTCTAGGAAATATGTCACTCAGTTTGCATTTAAAAACCATGCATAACAACATGTTGTTACTTCTCATTATAACGTGTAACAGCATGTACAGTGTAATGATGTAAAATGAAAGTTTGTCATAACACAGTAATCTGCTTTTCATCGCCGTTTGCTTTCAACCATTGCAAAGACTCCAGAAAAACATCAAACCCAGTGGTACTTCAATATAGATAAACTTTCATCTACCTCTAATAGGTAATACCTGGTTTTGCTAACCTCTTCCATTTTGTGAGTTACCAGCAGGATTGGATCTAAACACCATTCCATTTTACTTACTTCATTTTATTGCCGTCAACTTCCTCTTTGATCTTTGGATTTTGAAATCCATAATGCAAACACCATTCATTGTAAATGCAGTATTGTACCATTTGTCACCAAGATGTACTGTGTGGGTGTCAACAATCATGAAAGTGTATGCCAGCTCAGCTGTCAGTAATGCTGCAAAGGATGCTCTAGACTGGTACAAGCCAAAGAGAGAAATTTTGGGAGTGGGCTGGAATAATGCAAGGGATGACTGGAAGCAATGTGACGAAATAGGAAGAAAGAGAATCAAAGGAGATGACATGAACTGGTCTAATGGAACTCAATTGGCTACAGGTGGGTTGTGTTTTCAAATTTTATTTCAACTGAAAGGGCTTCAAAATTCTGCAGGCCAAGAGTGGCTTGTATAACTTCTTCTATAAACTGAGATAAAACAGGACATTTTTGATCCCAGGACATTTTGTTAATATCATTAACAGCTTCAATCATATTCCAAGTGAGCTGCCAAAAAACAGGAAATTATTTACTAAGTTGGGGTGCCAGGTGATGCTGTTTTTTCCATGAATGGAGTGAAGTGTCCACTTTTCCCACTGATTCTAATCTTTTATTCATTTGTGAAGTTAAAATGAATACCACAGGCACTTGTACTGCTAAGTCAATCAGTCTTTGGATAGATGTATGTGTGTACTTGGCATGTATGAATAAAATGGCTGAGACAAAGAGTAGGAGATTCACTAGTTAAGAGAACGGTTTTAAAAATGACAGGGAGAAAAGGAATGTTTGTCAAAGTTCTCACAAACTTATAAAAATACAGTATAGACTATTTTAATGAAAATGTATATAGTCAATTTTTTCAAGCTATTTTAAAAAAATGCGCTCTTTTAACCAGGCCAAGATAGTACAACATTTAAGGAATTCTTAAAGCATTTTGAAAACTTCTGAGTGACCTCAGTATGGTCCCATTTAACATACCCTGGGGAATATGTGTATGAAATACAACGTGGTTTGAGGCTTTCCAAACAAAACAAACTTAAAAGAGAATACAATTTTTATTAGAAACTATTCAAATTCTCCCAAAAGATAAAAAAAAACCCAAACAGGTATGCACTGCACTGCAGCTAAGTTTTCAAGAACAAAGATATTTGCTAGTTAAGTGAGGGGATTGAAGGTTGTTTTTTTTCCTTTAGAACATTACTCTCCCCTTTTTCACAATGTAATTTCTTTCAACATTCTTATACAGTATTCTTACTTCAATTAAATTCTTACTTGAATTAAATGGCTGGCATGTGCAAGAAGCAACAAAACAACCCAGAAATATAGGCAGTTTAATAAATTGTTATCTGATGTTTTACCAGATTAAATCCATTCATGTTGATGAATTTTACTATATGAATGTTGCCAGCTGAAAATCAAATGCAAACCATACAGTGGTACT